CCGAGTCGACCCTTGTTCCTTAGCTGTTCCCTTCTTCTGACAGCTCTGCGCATGCACACATTGGGAACAGGCTCCAGCTGTTCTTCTTCCCCACTGATCTCTGATTCCGAAGGCAGCTGATAACCATCAGATGGCCCTGGCCCCATCTCTGTCTCTAATGCAGAGCACTCATCAGAGCCTTCCCCAGACTCCAGGACTGGCCCATGTTCCTCCCCAACCTCCTCACTGTCTGAATTTGCTGCCAGCTCTCCTGGCTGCTGGTGGGCTACAACAATGCCTGAGCAGGGTCCTCACAGCTGCTTAAGGCGAACACAAAGGCTTTGTACTCTAAGGTAAGACAGATTGGATGTCCCTCTCTTGCATAAAGGTAGTCCTCAACTTACAATAGGGTTGTCAAACTAAAGGCCTGGGGGCCGGATCTAGCAAGGTGGTACTTAAATCTGGCCCGTTCTTTATATGTTTTAGCCTCCAGTCCAGAGGTGGTATTCAGCAGGTTCTGATCAGTTCTGGAGAAACGGTAGCGAAAATTTTGAGTAGTTTGGAGAACCGGCAAATCCCACCTCTGACTGGAGATTTTACAGTATCCTCCCCCTGCCATGCCCACCAAGCCATGCCCACAGAACCGGTAGTAAAACTCCTCCAGTCCCCTAATCATCATTGTTGCTCTTCTCTGCACTCTTTCTAGAGTCTCAGCATCTCTTTTACATCGTGGTGATCCAAACTGGATGCAGTATTCCAAGTGTGGCCTTACCCAGGCCTTATAAAGTGGTATTAACAGTTCACGTTGGTCACCGTTTGCGATCATCTGACTTCCAACAAGCAAAGTCAATGGGGAAAGCTGAATTTTCTTAATGACCATTTTCTTAATGACCACTTAACAACGGCAAGGAGTCACTTAACAACCAAGGAAAGAGAAAGTTGTAAAATCAGGTATGACTCACTTAAAAATCCGCATTGCTTAGCAATGGAATTGCCGGTCCCAATTGTAGTTGTTAACACAAGAACTAATTAAAGATTTAGTTTAAATGGGGAAGAGAGAAAAATAAAACAGGTGACTAAATTCTCATTCTCCAGCATCCTGGCACTGAATGTATTTATGACTATGATCATGATTTATCACTTATATCTTTTAGGTACACTGAGAGCTTATGAACCGAAGGCAAATTCCTTGTGTGTCCAATCACACTTGGCCAATAAAGAATTCTGTTCTGTTCTGTTCTGTTCTGTTCTGTTCTATTCTATTCTATTCTATTCTATTCTAAATTAGTTCACCTCCATACTCTGTTTAACTCACAAGGTCTGACCTAGAACTTAAACCGCGTTACATGTATTTTGGCCTTGTGTGTCTTACACCCCTAAAAGTAATTAAAATTATGCATCTCAAAAACTAGGTCAGAGATAGCAGTCTGGCTTTGACTAACAGAGCCTCAGGGGAAAATCTATATTTAACTCAAGTTCTCACATCCCGAAGTTGAATAGCCAAGCTTCATATAAGAGAACATCAGCAGATTACAGAAATCCTGAAGTTCCAAGATATTTAGGAAAGATCTCTTATGAATTCACCAGAAAAGAATGTCGAGAGGAAAAATAAAAAGCAACTAGAGAGGCAGTGGGAATGAAATGAGAGAAAGCAGGAGATACATGGAAGAACAAAAGCTACCTCATCCCAGTCACCCTGGTTTCTACCTTTTCAATAGCAACAATGGCAAAATCTAATATTTCAGTACAGCTTTCCATTTGTGTGACACACACCCACACCCACACACCACAGGTAGTATTCAGCAAGTTCTGACCAATTCTGGAGAACTGGTTGCGGAAATTTTGAATAGTTTGGAGAACCGGCAAATACCACCTCTGACTGGCCCCGCCCCCATCTATTCTCTGCCTCCTGAGTCCCAGCTGATTGGCTGGTTCTTCTTTTGTTGCCCTGAACAGGAGAACGGAGCTGGAAAGCAGGTTAGTGGGGTGGGGAGGGAATGGGGATTTTACAGTTTCCTTCCCCTGGAGTGGGGTGGGAATGGAGATTTTGCAGTATACTTCCCCTGTCACGCCCACCAAGCCACGCCACGCCACGCCCACAGTACCAGTAGTAAAAAAATTTGAATCCCACCACTGACACACCCACACACCTACAAGATTGAACATATCCTGGGAAGCAGGGAATATAAATGGCTGAATGGGAGGATAGATGTTGATAGGCAAATATTACAGACGTCTTGCCTATTCAGAAACTGTATTTCATTAAAAAAAAGCCAAAAAAATCCCCAAGCCTTCATAGAGAGAAGGAAATTTGAAGACACAAGGCAATCTAAAGATTTTGTGTTCTGCATGTTCCAGTCCATATCAAATAAATTTGAATTATTTATTTAATATATAGCCACCCACCATACATCATGCAATTCTGGGTGACTTCCGTGTCCCCAGAAATAATCCTATGGAAAAGTGTTGCAATTTTGCTTTTCCAGGGAGATTCCTTCCTTATTTGTTTGTAAATGCCCTGGAAATCTGTCAAATATGGTAGTGAGATTAAAAATTCAAATGGATCACTTAAAATACTGGATGGCATTGCATAACGTGCTTATTGTATAGCATGTTCATATTGCAGTATGAATAATATGCACACTGTGGTAACCTTGGCAACTTTAAGATGTGTGGACTTCAACTCTCAGCATTCCTCCCTCTGCTGGCAGGGGAATTCTAGGAATTGACATCCTCACATCTGAAAGCTGCAAGGTGGAAAAACACCGAGCTTAGACATTTAGCCAAAATCAGGACCAGTCCTTTACTTGTACGTTACTCGGTTCTGCCACCAATACTGTTTTTCAGTGAGGTCAATTTATACCTTCACAACCAAAGAATGTGCACCCCCAATATATTTCTTATATAAGACTGTGATTAATAAACTGTTGTACCTGAGCAACAGAAATCCACGATAGAGGGGGGGGAAAATAAAATCTGCTAAAAAAGTAGAGACAGAAATAAGACACATATTTGTATTTGCTGTATATATAAAGTGTTGCAATTGATATAAAATATAAAGTCTGCCCACATTTGGTGGTTTGTGGTTCCAGCTCTCACATTTTTCTATTTTAACTAGAGAATCTTTTTTAAGGCAGGTCTGCTGAAGAGGCCTTGTCCATCTACATCTCAATTGTTATCTAAAAAGGCTTTCCCTTGTTAGGCAATTTGTTATTTTAGCTGAAATAATGTAGATAAGAAGTTCCTTATTTTTAAGCTTGAGATTCAATCCCATATATGTGAAAAAACCCTATTTCTGGGAAGCATTTGATTAGCTGTTTAGTAACTGTTTAGTAACATAAAAGACCTAAGACATATAGCTGGTCTTTTACTTACCACAATCCAGCCCAAATTTTCTGTTGCTAAGCAAGACAGATATTGAGTTTTATCCCCTTTTACCATCTTTCTTTTCACAGTTGTTAAGTGAACCTCGCTTCCCCAGATTCTGACTTCTGACCTCTCAGAAGGCCACAAAAGGGGATCATTATGCAATTGTCCTAAATACATGACAATTGCCAAACATCTGAATTTCGATAATGTGACCCTGGGGATGCTGCAATGGTCGTAAGTAAGAAAAACTTTTTTCAATGCCTTTGGAACTTCAAATGGGTCACTAAACGGATGCTTGTGTGTTGAAGACTACTTGCACATGTAAATTCATTCTACCGTCAAAATGCTCAAACTTCAGAATAAGACATCCGCAAAAGTTCCAGACTAGCAACACAATTTTATTCGTAAACATTTATGTTACATGTTCCAATAAGTTAACTGAATTCCAGCATTTGTACATTTCACTGTATATGGTCAAAATTGGATTATGAAGAAAGAAACTGGATTGCTTCGTTGGTTGTTACTGTCCCGTGTTTTAAAAACCTTTCAAAATACAAGCAGCATTAAAAACTGTGAGGAAATGCAAAGAAAAGTAACAGGATTATTGAAAGGAACAATTCAGATGATTAGGTAGCTGAGAGAAGAGTATAAAAAAAGAATCATAGAAATAAAACACGTTCTGGAGAAACTCACTGAGCAAGTAAGTCCCAATAAAAATATTATCTCTGGATGCCTGGTTTACTCTAAATTCAAAAAACAGATTACATCTTAATAATGAAGCACAAAGACAAACCAAGAAATGTTACGGCCTAAAATATGACTAACTTGATTCTGGACAAGAAAAAAACAACAGATTAAAAAATAATAATGGATTGCACAGATGTTAACATTTTGCCTTTGTTCACAGTATATTTAAATCATTCAAAAAAAAAAAAAAACCAACCCCTAACATATAGCATAAGCACACATTTAAAAAAACACACCAAATGACAAATTAAGGCTCTGCTTTGTATAGCTCTGTTTTCTGTTATAGAAGGGGGCGTTTGTCAGTGAAGCAAAGGCCAGGCTTAGAATGACCCACTCAGGACCCCTTATAATATAGTCATTATTCACCATTCAGCACCTCCTTCGTATCTATTAAGTGTTACCTTTCTGGATTCTCACACCTTGCATAACTGCATCCAAAGAGGCACTTGGCCTACCAGTAGTTTTATGGAAACTTTAAAGATGAGTTACAGGGTAACTAATAATAAATGAATAGGGAATGCATTATCTGACATCCGGGAATCAAGTAAGAAGCCTGGATCAAGGAGAGATGGGAGTCCATCTCTTGAATAGCTCTGATATTTCAGGATTTTCTGCTGAATTTCTAGGTACGGGTGTGCATCCTGCATTTAAGAAAAACAGGACAAACAAACCCCTGAGAATTCTAACACTTGGGAAATCCACTAGTTTGTCAATATACAAACGTGTGTGTGTGTGTGAACAAAATTCTGGCGCTTTCCCACGCACTATATATAGTGTGGAGAGTGTTGGTTGGGAGCAACTTAATCTTCTATACATTAAAAGAGAATGATTTGTAGTTCAGGGTTGAAATGAAGAGTCCTTGGTGCTCTCTGAGCTTGCTCGTTTTCTTGCAGATGTTTCATTACCCAACTGGGTAACAGCATCAGTTACCTAGTTTGGGATAATGAAATGACCGCAAGGAAACAAGCAGGCTCAAAGAGGACCAAGGGCCCCTCCCTTCTACACATTGTAACTGTATATTGAAACCAAAAGCAGCCGTCTTTTAGGGTGGCAAACGGGGTACACAGGAGCTTTGAAAGAAGGCAATTCAGAAAGGGCAAGTCACTAGGAAGGGTTGTAATCGAATCTGGAAGGAACCCAGAAGATATCTAATTATCTCCACGAGAGGGTCTTCATCCTGAAGATTTCAATATAATAAGCTGCTGTTTATGCCCTCAAATGGGTCTGCTTCCTAAATAATTTGGTTTCCCAACGTAACTGGACAATAACTGGCTTCTGAACTACAATTAATCTTCATATTTACTCTCTTCCTATTTTTCCCCCCTTCTTGGTTAGAAGGTTCTTAAGTAACAGCTGCGTATTTCAAGCACTGACACGGTGGGTGATAAATTACACTTTTAGGTGAAGCTGCATGTTAACTATAATATTAAAGGTCTATCCTAATATAAAGAGGGGAAAGGAGGGTATAAAATGCTGAGAAATGAGAGAAAGGTTGATAAAAATAGGGCTCTTTATACAATTTTTGTCTATTCTTGCTCTTCAGAAGAATAGTATCAGAATTGGTGGATAGAAATAGAAGGGGATTACGTGCTTTGTATGCGTGTTCTATGCGAGGGAGGAAAAAAAGGGGGAAAAAAATGAAACAATATCCAATGCCCTAAGTTCTAATTTTTAAAATACGGACAGAAAATCCTTTTTTAAAAATAAAAAAAATACGTATCTTGCTATATCCTCCTGGAATGTCAAATAAGTGCTCTCTAAATTCTTGGTCCCTCAAACATCTCCAACCATTCAAGCCAGCTGATTTGCATTAAAAAAAAGAAAGAAAAAAATCCAGTTAAAGAAACCAACCATGCTTCCCGCAAACTCCTGGATCGTCCACTTTAGGCCACAGTGATTTTAGGAAACAAGTCCAATTCCTAACTTCTTACAGCTGCATTTTTAGACTCTGCAACAGCCAAGATCCTGAAGTGAGCAGAACAGCACGACAGAATGTGTTATCGACCTTACAAAACTAATTATTAAACAACACTGTGCACGTTTCTCTTGCCCTTCTAGGAAGGGAACACTGATATGCTCTACAAAGACTCCAGCACGAATCATTTCCATTAACGTTTTAAATAATGAACAGAGCACCTCAACCGTTGTGGCCATTCACTAAAACTCCCCTCTCCATCTATTCCTCTGAAACGAGTGAAAGCCGCACAGGAAGGCAACCTGTCCGGACAGTATGTTCGGGTGAAATTAGGAAATCCCCCGGAGGGTTATCCTCAAAGCTTCCCAATTCTATACCAGATTTGCCTTCCTTTTTAATACCTTGCTTACGGTTTTAGTATCTCCTCTATCTGCCTATTCCTACATGGTAGGTAAATGTTTTCTTGAGTTTGGCCTTTTCGTTGGAGAGTCTCAGTTACCCCTGAACAGAATTCACCGAAAACTTTTCCTATGCTGCCTTCAAGAACATGGAATATCGTGGTTACGTTTGCAAAGGTTTTGTGGACCGCATCCATGGTTAAAAAAGCTTGTCGCCTGTATTTGTCAACTCAGACTAACTTTTTTTTCCCCTCCAAGCTGCCCGATGAAGTGTGCTTGAAAACTCAAGGGAACAGAGTCAAATTTTCCAGGTTCGGCTTTTGGGATGCTTGTTGGCGCTTTCCAAAGACAAATTCCACACCGGATGATAATTGTGCACAAACGGAGGACTTATAGGATGAAATCCATTATGTGTAAAACTGTTGCATAGCTAACTCTACAATAATATGCCCGTGTGCCAGCAGGTTTTTAGTTAGAAAGGAGAATGTTAATCCAACCTCTTAATGTTTTCCCATGAGGCATCAGCCGATGTTTACAAAATTTCAGATTAAAACCCAGTACAAAATAGCATTGAATCTTCCCACCATTGTTTTTAATCAGGTAGTTCAGAGACTAGATTGGCGATAGTCCCTTGTACTGCTAGTCCTCAAGACCACTGCCAGAATCACCGACACAAACACGGAGCATTATTGGAGTATAATTTGTGCCTCTCTAACATCAAAAACTGTTTCAGCTGTTTACAGTATTATTGTAATACAAAAAGAACCAGGCAAATTTAAGGTCAGCATTGCTAATATATAAAATTGCTATTATCCCTTGCGACAGCATAGAAATTCAATGATCAGAAAGCTTTGGAAGGGGACGGTCTGTTAAAATAAAAATGAAAGATCGATTGTCTTGAGAGAAGAGACAGGCCAACGGATGAACAAAAGCTTTTTCGGATGAACAAAAACTTTTTCGTTAGGACAGAACATGCAGGAAACGGGGAGACCAAATGCCTCTTCCTCCTCCCCCTCCCCCACTGAAATGTAACATCCGCACCCTTTAACACCTTCACTGCAGGGGAACAGCGTTGTGACGGCACCCCAAGTTTCAGAAGATTGGCACTGTGAGTTGAATGCAGTTGGTTATACCAGGAGTCCAAAGGCAAGTTGTGAAGGCCATGCTACTTTACGTGTTCTGGGGGCATGGCTGCAATTAGGACCGAGGAAGGAGACCGTCCGCTCCATTCCGATAATACGCCATCCTTAAACATGAGATTCTTGGCAGGCAGTGGAACCCCGGCGTCGGCAGAAGTTAGAGGAGAAAGTAAACTTGACGCAGAAGAAGAAAAACTGGCCTCTGACAGCAACTCCATGGTTGAAATGTTTTCCTAAATGAGAAGAAGGGGCACAGGGTTCAATAGGATTCCAGTTTGACTACAGGTAGTCCTTATCTTACAACCAATCACTGAAGGACCGTTGTATGCCATATGCCTTCCCCTCTGTTGAGAGAGGGCTGTTCAGTTTTGACATAGATGGTCTCTCTTTGACAGAGGGGGAGACATCATCTACCGCCAGTCTACAACACAGTCCTTTCAGCAGTTCCAAGAAGGCCCCATACCCATTTGCACCACTCAAGTGACCCTGAGGACACAGATAAACCTCCAAGTGGCCTCAACAGCTCTCTAAAAAAAGAATGCAAATGACCAGCTGTCTGCAAGGAATATAAATCCTTCCATTCCCCACCATCCAGTCAGAGCTGAAGAAGCTTCTTGGATGAGAAGCAAAACGTCTTCAAAGAAAAAAAAGAAAAGCCCAGTTGCCTTTTGCAAAAGCACCTTTGGGACAACCGTGACCCGGATGACTGAGAACCTTCAAAGTCCAAAGATCATGAGATACACGCTCCCATTTCAGCTCCTGACAAAAACTATCCATCAGCCCAGATACACAGAAATTTGTAAGCTTCCCAGAGCGGCTGGGAGTTGATCAGCCTAAGAAATCAATGAATATGATCTCAGTACATTTACCTGGAATGAATGAACAAAACTAAGGACCTGGAGGGAAAGTTTTCTGCTGGAATGTAACAGTTTTTGAAGGCTGCCAAAAGACAACAGGAAAAGCGACAGAGTTACATACGGTATCGGGTAACCAAAGGCTAATTTGTTTTATTTTTCTTCGGTATAATCCAACGAAGCCTCACCTCTCTCTGCTGCATAATCCATGGCTGGCGATCTTCCGACAGACTTTTCGGTTGAGGTCTGAGCTGAACAGTGGGATTCCGAAGCTCAGTTCCAAGGGAACCCACTCCAGTTCTGTGGTAGGGACTGAAAAGATACCAAGAAAGGGCAAAGTGGAAGGGACTCCAGCTGCCAACGTTTAAGGACTTTTTGAACACTTTTAAAGATTAAAAAGGTAAAGGTTCCCCTCGCACATATGTGCTATTCGTTTCCGGCTCTAGGGGGCAGTGCTCATCTCTGCTACAGAGCTGTCCGAAGACGTCTCCGTGGTCATGTGGCCGGCATGACTAAATGCCGAAGGCACACGGCCTTCCCACCCAAGGGGTCCCTATTTTTCTACTTGCATTTTTACATGCTTTCGAACTGCTAGGTTGGCAGAAGCTGCGAGAAGTAACGGGAGCTCACTCTGTTGCGTGGTGCTAGGGATTCGAACCGCTGAATCGCCAACCTTTCTGATCGACAAGCTCGGTGTCTTAGCCACTGAGCCGCCGCCTCCCTAACACTTTTCAGAACCTTTTTCGAACCTTCAAATTACAGTGTTAGTAATGAGTGATGACTGCAAAACAATAATAATAATAATGCAGTGATGATCTTTTCCTCTTGTACAGGTAGTCCCTCGACTTATGACAGTTCACTTAGTGGCCGTTTAAAGTTACAATGGCACTGAAAGAAAGGGACTTAAGACCAGTTTTCAGACTTACAACCTTTGCAACAACCCCATGGTTACGTGATTTACATTTGGACGCTTGGCAACCGATTCATATTTACGACGCCTGCAGTGTTCCTGGGGTCATGGGATCCCCCTTTTGCGAACTTCTGACAAGCCAAGTCAATAGGGAAACCAGATTCACTGAATGACTGAGTTACTAATTTAACAACTGCAGTGATTCGCTTAACAAATGTGGCGAGAGAACTGGTAAAATGGGGCAAAACTCTCTTAACAATTTTCTCACCGAGCAACGTAATTTTTTTTGGCTCAATTGTGGTCGTAAGTCGAGGACTACCTGCACCTTCAAGAGGTTGAACTGCTTATGCCAAGCAATAAACTCCACTCAAATGAACAAGTGGTGGAAAAGCAGCAGTCAAGAAACTTGTCTCTTTTTCTTCTGGTTGATGGTTCCCATCAATAACCATCAGCTCAGCCATTCGTGCAACTGAGAAAATCTGAAAAAGGAAGCAATCCTGCATTTTCTGATTATTTCCCCCAAAACCAGCATCTGTGAATCACCCTTCAAAGCAGATTTATGATACATTCTCTGTATTCAGAAAATTCATCGCAGAGAACAAAAATGATTTATCCTTGGCACTTTTTCTGCTATGGAGGTAATCCTTGACTCATGACCACAAATTGAGCCCAACATTTCTGTTGCTAAGTGAGACATTTGTTAAAGTGAGTTTGGGCCCGTTTTACAATCTTCCCTGCCGTGGTTGGTAAGTGAATCTGGCTTCCCCGTTGACTTTGCTTGTCAGAAAGTCACAAAAGGGGATGACAGGACCCTGGGAACACGGCAACCATCACAAATATGAGCCAGTTGCCAGGTGCCTCAATTTTGATCACATGAACATGGGGATGCTGTAACAGTTGTTAAGTGTGAAAAACGATCCTAAGTCAGTTTGTTTCAGCACCATTGTTGACTTTGAATGGTCACTAAAAAAAAAGTTGTAAGTTGAGGACTGTTTAATGTGGCCCTTCCTCCTTCTGCCTTTTGTTCTAGCACAAAGCCCAACCCATCTACAATCGGAACTTCTGCTTCTTGTTAGAGGTCCCAACTCCTGGTCAACAGCAATCAGATTGTGCAAACAAGCGAATCCCCACTTGTGTTGTGGTTAGCCGGCAGCAGGTGTGGACAGCTGAGGAGAGTGAGGACTCAGATGAGGGGCCAGGACCATTAGGGAGTGGACTGCTGCCTTCAGAGATTGTGGGGGCTGGCAGCAGCGATTAGGAGGTTCCTGAGGAGCCCGTGCCAAGTGCGCATGCGCGCAGGGGTGCTCGTAGGAAAGAGCAGCTGCAGCAGCACGGGCGACTCGGGAGTAAGGCTGCAAGGTAATGGCCTCTCCTTCAAGAAGATAAAAGCCAGCTGTGAAGCGAACGTTCTTTGCAGGAAGCAAAGACGTTTTGAAACTCAGCCTCGTGGACATTACAGTATCTTAAGTTGGTATCTGAAGACTTCTTGTGTTGTGAAATATTTCTTATCTGTGATTCTTGGCAGTCTCACACAGTTTTGGAGAGGTTTCTGCTTATCAAAGTTAATTAGTTTGCAAGCAGCCTTTTAACCGGGAATTTGTAAGACTCATTAAAAGGTTTCTGTTCCCTTTGATTATTGTTTGTCTTATTGGAAAAGGGTTTGGGTCAGAACAACTTGTAGGATGCAGGCAATGTGGAAAACCCCATCCTCTTTGGTCCATGAAAAAAACTTCTCTCCACAGAACGGGTCCCCCGTGTCCAAAACGTTGGGGGCTGCTGTTCTAGGTTACCCACTGACTGCAGAGTACATCATAGACCTCAGTGTAATGCCCTTTAAGGTTCTCTTCTCCATTTTGATGAGATTTACCTTCTGGGCTTTGTTTAGCAGCAGGATCTATGTAGGGCTCTTCAATGACCATTTCAAAGGATTCTGTGCTTCCGTTTACATCTGAGCCCAGGGCAAGCTCTGGATCCTCTGAAGAGGAAAATAAATACTTAAAATTATACACAAAAATCTTCCTCAGATCAAAAATTGTTCACAACGGCACTTCTACTCCTATTCCCAAAATCAATCGCTATTTAACCTTAGGTCGCACTGCAACGGTTAACAGGAATAAGATCTGGAAAAAGCAGAAAGATTGATATAAATACAAAAACAGGCTGGTTAGAGCCATAGTCTTTCCTATAAGGATGTATGGATGTGAGAGTTGGGCACCAAGAATGACCAAATGAAGAAGAATTGATGCCTTTGAACTGTGATGCTGACGTGAATTATGTGCATATGTTATGGACAGCCAGAGCAACCAACAGAGGTGCTGAATTGTATAAAATCAGAAACATCACTAGAAGCCAAAATCACAAGACTACGTCCGATTTACTTTGGCCACATTGTGTGTACAAATTCATTGGAGAAGACAGTGATGCTAGGAATGGTTGGAGGAACAAGAAGAAGGGGCAAGCAAAGAACCTGCTGGCTGGATAACATCAAAACTGACACAAAGATGAACATCCAGCAATTGAAAGGTGCTGGTGCTTGACTGATTCGCATGGAAAGCACATGCCTATAAAGTTGGCAAGTGTTGGACACGATTAAATGGCTAAAACAGGGGTGACAAAATCAAGTTCACGGCCTGCATCCGGCCCTCGGGACTACCCCTGTGCCTCTGCCAGCGAAAACAGAGCTCGGGAGGGCTGCACACAGCCCTTCCGGGCTCTGTTTTCAGCTGTGCTGGCCTCTTGCAGCCCTCTGCCAGTGAAAACAGAGCTTGGGGAGGTTGCATCGGCCCCTCTGGGCTACGTTTTCACTGGTAGAGGGCTGCAGGAGGCCACTGCGGCCAAAAATGGAACCTCGGCAAGTGGCATCCAGCTGGCCACGCCCATCCTGGCCACACTCCCAACAACTCCCCCCCCCAGCCCTCCCCCCTCAAGGTCAAACACAACCCTGATGTGGCCCTCAATGAAATTGAGTTTGACACCCCAGGTTAAAACAACAACATACAGAAGAACTGCCTTGGCTGTAACTAAAGGCTCTGGATAGAAGGTTGTGGAATATGTTTCTTACCTGCATACCTCTTAACAAACACAGAAAAATCTTGCTACCATTCTGATCTTGTTCCACCATTTGCAAGAATGCACACAAATTGAATTTAAAAAAAAAAAAACAACCCAGGACCAACCTTTTTCCTCAGACGCATCGCTCAGCTTCCTCTTCACGGGGTGACTGAAAGGGTTCAACATGGTGATGTAGCCGCATAAGTGCTGGAGATCCATCTTTTCCCTCAACATCTTCAGTGCTTTATGGACACCCATGTTGAGACGGGAAAAATCTAGATGTAACACGGCCCCCCAAAAAGAGTATATGAAATCACTTTACTAAATTAAACCACAGATAATGACAGGTGATATAAAAAATGATTTGGAGAATGACTGAATGTTGGCATAATGTTGTCCAGTTTGGGATTTGATGTCTCACAGCGTTTTCAAATTTGGGGTTTCTGTTTTTGTTTTGCTCAGTTTACAGTATTTTCTTTGGGAAAGAAAACTTTTAATTAAAAAAAAAAAAGATTACTGATGGTGAGCAGGCTTTCCTCTCAGGATACAAGGCTTTGCAAAAGTCTCTAGACTTGGAAAGTCTAAGGCTGCTTCCTAGACACATGAAGCAGGAACAAAGTTTTTCTCTTGATTTAATGACGTATGAACTGTTAATAAATAAATCCCCCATTACCTCCTTGCTGTTCTGCTTCATCAAGTGGAAATGGAATGTGGATAGTTTCCCCCACGCCGTGTATGCCGTGTCCCTGAATGCCAAGACAAGAGGTAAGGTAAAAAAATTGGCATCCTTTTGACAACTTTCGGTTCTGCTTTTTCCAAGTTGCCTTCATGGCTTTGTGATTTTGGAATATTGGTCAGAGTTGTTGGGTTAAGGTGTGTGTGTATGTGTGTGTGTGTGTGTGTGTGTGTGTGCAGGGACAACTCCCTCTGTGCCCATAAAGTTCTCAAGGAGCCTGGGCCTGTCACTCTCTCCAAGCGCTATTTTACAACGGGGTTGTCAGAATAAAATACAGGTAGGATAGGAACGTCTAGTACAAGGGTCTTCAAACTTGGCAAGTTTGAGACTTGTGGACTTCACCTCCCAGAATTCCTAAGCTAACATGACTGGAGGAGGGATTCTGGGAGTTGAAGTCCACAAGTCTTGAAGCTGTCAAGTCTGAAGACCCCTGTTCTAGGTACACCTTAGAAAAGCAGGTAATCCTCAGCTTATGATCCCAGTTGGGACTGAAAAGTCCATCGCTACGCGAGGCGGTTGCTAAGTGAGTTGAGTCCAATTTTGCAATCTCTTTTGCTGTTACGGTTAAGTGAATCCCCCACGGTTGTTAAATGAGTCACATGATCATTAAGTGAATCTGGCTCCCCTCCCAATGGACTTTGCTTGTTGGAAGCTGGTCAAGAAAGTCACAGATGGCAATCATGTGACCCTGGGGCACTGCAACCTTCATAAATACGTGCTACTTGCCAAGTGCCCAATTTCTGATCCTGTGACTGTGGGAGAGCTGCCATGATCATGTACGAGGGCTGGTTCTAAATCGCTTTTTTCAATGCCATTGTAATTTCCAACTGTCACTAAATGAATGGTCATAAGTTGAGGACTACCCGTACAAATGAAGTAAATGGTTGTCTGTATCCTGGTTTGTAAGCCCTTTTTAAGATCCAGCACTTCTGTCCTGCAACTGCTGAGCACCAATACCAGCAGACCTCCTAAAATTAGCTCTATATATCTAGTCATCTGAGAGTGAAGAGTTGTGAGTTCAATTCCAGTAGAGCCTCATAGAGTAACAGCTTGCTACCCACACCTGACAATTCCCAATAAAAACAAAAGTGGTCATGCAGCGCCTCCTGGTGGTCAATGTCTTATATAAAACAATGTGATGGTTTTTCAAATTGAACTATATGGAAGAGATTATTATTGGCTGATCTGATGTAACCGATGTATCTAATTGTAGATCTGATGTACCTAATCGAACTCATCTGGAAGGTATCCTTTGTACCCTATGATAACAAACACTGACCAGGAATTCTAATAAGCTACACTTAAATGAACAGTCTACTAGCCACTCTTTGTCTATTCATCTTTCTACTTCTATCCTGGCAAAAAAAAAAAAAAAATCTGTCAAAACTCATAGTTAGTCTATTTGTGTATAAATCTTTGTACCTGAATTAGGACAGCAGAATGGGTTAAAGCATCGTTCAACATTGTGAGCACATTCGAAGTGGGGACCACTCCTGGATCGTGACCCCAAGATGTTATTAATAAGCGGTCATAGCCCTGGGAATCAAATGCAGAGACAAATTAAGACCCAATTAACAAGATGTTTATCTATCTATTTATCTATATTACATCTACAGTAGTGTAATTCAGTATCTGTATTTTCCCCGCACGTTTTTCCATTAAAATTTTATTTGGTTCTCTTTTCAGCCTGGTCACCTGGCTTAAATCCTTTTCTGTTTGTTGGGAGAGGAAATATGCAAAACCTGATTTGTATTTATTTAATAAATACTTTTTCAAGTAATATATTTGTTAATGCCATATTTATAATTGCCATGGGCACTATCTTTGGCAGAGAGGCTTAATATAATAATATAGATTAGAAAGTATATTTGTTTTTGTAGTTAATTTGTTATCAATAAATCAATATAAAGAATCAGAGGTATATTGTCTAGGCAACAAGAGAATGTATTAACTTTTGTTGCAAGTGTGTCAGTGGATCTCAAATTACGGCTAATGTAACCCAAAATAATACTTAAAATGTGCTGGACTCCATTACATTTGGATGTAAAATGACTGTCAAAAACAGCCCTTTGTTGGAGATGTAATAAGGATCATGCTTCTTTAAAATACGTATTTTTACAATGTCTTCTACTTAACATGTTTTGGGAGAAAGTAATTGATTGTATAACGGAAGCTAAAATTATCAGAGGATCGTATTTTCTTGAACTGCAACTCCCTGATCATATTTTCTTGAACTGCAGTTCACCTACCTGAAATATATCTGGAAGTTTTCGAAGCCTTGTGCCTTTAGATAATAACAGGGATGGAGGCCCCTGTCCAGTTATGTGATAAATATAGAGCTTGAACCACACGGAGCTCACTTCTGGGATAGCTGGCCCGATATGCTGTGAAAAGATGAGAAACGCATCCAAAGTCAGAATGAAAGCACACAGGAAGAACAGAGCCATGGACATCAGCATTTGCAGTGGCCCTCAGACAATTTCATGGTGGCTTTTTAAAAATGTCATTTATAAGATAAAAATACAAAAGAACAGTTAGAAAGGGGAAGGAAGGAAAGAAGGAAAGGAGGGAGGGAGAGAAGGAGGGGGAGAGAGAGAGAGAGAGAAAGAGAGAGAGAGAGAACAAAAAGTAAAAAAAAACTTCCAACTTTTATTCAGTGTAGGAGAATGAAAAAAAGTAACAACCTCAACCTCATGCTTCACATTTCTAGACATTTCAAGCGATTTCTATAACAAAAAATCATTCTAATCATGAACACCTAAAATCAGTTTCATGTTTTTTTTTTCAATTTAAAGCAAAAAGTCCAGAAGTAGAAACAAAACTAGAAAGATTCTTCTCTTGGATTAAAAGAGTCAATTTCACCCTCTGACAACTGCATCATCTTTAACATCCCTTCTTCCATTGTGGGAATTAGTCCTATATTCCAACAGTTTTGTTTTCAACGTGACTTTTGGAAATGTTATCTATTAAAAAACACAAAATATGCTCATCGTGTAAAAAATGTCAAAACGTTTTAAATCTTAGAGCTTCCAATCTGAAAAAAAAAAATCACTCAAGAGATAATAAAAGATTTCTCATAGTAAACACACAGGATTTGACGTTTCCTGTGCATTTATTATGAGAGATCTTTTAGTACCTCTTGGGTAAATTTGGAAGCTCTAAATCAGATTTTTAAAGTGTGTATGGTTTTTAAAAATAGAAACATCGTAGATTTTTATAAATGGCTATGAATAGTTGTGGGGGATTTTTTTTTAAAAAAAAAACAGAATAGGCCTTTAAATAAATACATAATAAAAAAAATGGCAAGGTCAAGTTACAAATACAGTACAACACAACACAATGCCATATAAATTTTAAAAGTATTTTGTTTCTCAACCCATTCAGACTTTCATGAGAAACTTTGAACAAGTTGTGAAACAAAACACTTTTAAAATTTACTTAGCATTGTGTTGTGCTGTACTTATAGCTTGACCTGGCCATTTTTTTTAAAAAAAGAAATGTATTTATTTAAAGGATCTTGCTTACCTGGGGAGTGCAGCTGCTGGTAGGTCGAATTTCATTGGTGAGGGGTGCCATGGAGACAAGCAGTGTGTAGTTTTTGTTCAAAACTCTGCTGCAGGTGGCAGGGTCCAAGCCAAGCAAGCTTTCACAGCGCAGTAAATCCAGAGGGAAACCTACGTGAACAATGCCAAAGACACTTGGAATACAGATAGCAAACGGACATGTATACAAGTGAAAAGGGGGGCAGAGGGAAAGGGGAAGGAAAAATACAAATTTAGATGGTCTCTCTTCCTCAGGATCTGAGTACTTGGGTTTTTTTTTTTTTAAAAAAAATAACATCACTAGGGAGATTTGGAATGGGTAAGGAGATTTCTTGGTGAACAAACTACAGGTAGTCCTCGACTTATGACCACAATTGAGCCCAAATGTTAAGTGAGACATTTGTTAAGTGAAATTCATCCCATTTTACCGTCTTTCTTGCCACAGTTGTTAAGTGAATCACCGTAGCTGTTAAATTAGTGGCACGGTTGTTAAGTGAATCTGGTTTACCCATTGGCTTTGCTTGTCAGAAGGTTGCAGAAGGGGATTACGTGACCCCAGGACACTGCAGCCGTCATAAATGTGGGTCAACTATCAAGCCTCTGAATTTTGATCACGTGACCATGGAAAAATGCTACAATGGCCATAAGTGTGAAAAATGGTCATAAGTCACTTTTTTTCAATGCCGTTGCAACCTTAAACAGTTGCCAAATGAATTGTTCTCAGTCAAGGATTACCCGTATAAATTCTTAGACCCTTTTTGCTCGCCTCAGCAAACCCAAAAGCGCTTGAACAGTTTATGATCATCATTTCTTGTTGCATGGGATATTTTGGATTTCCTTTACAAAAAGATGGGAAAGGCTGGGTCAAGTATAAAAAGCAACACCTAACCAAAACATTTGTGCTAAGGAAAACAAAACACCCTACCCAAACACACTCTCACCAAATGAGAGATATGATAATAGTGCCTACGTTATTCTGAACACATTTGGAATGATTGATCGTTTATGAAAGGAGATACCAAGTTTTTAGCTTCTATAGCAGTGTTTCTTAACCTTAGCAGCTTTAAGATGTTTGGACTTCAACTCCCAGCACGGCTAGTTGAAGTCCGCACGTCTTAAAAATGGCTAAGGTTAAAAAAAAAAAGGCTATCCTATAGACTGAACACTAAACTGCAATGGAGTAATGACAAGTAGTGATATCCATCAACACAGTATAGTCAGGCTTGGTTTCTCTAATAGTAGAAATGAGAAAAATGAGAAATAAGCTAAAATGGTACAGACTACAAAAGGGATAGATGGGCAACAGGTGAAGGGGTTACTAACCCAAAAGGACAGAGAGACCTGATTTAGGCTTGGCAGGAAAAAATGAGAGGCACCGAAAGAGATAAATATGGCAAGTGCGAAGTGTATAATGGTGACGTGTACATTTTATAGAAGCATCTAAGGATTCTAAATCATAAAACACACCTTCCAGAGCAAAAGTGATGCCAAGTTGATCCAAAGCATTTAAGCTCTGTGCGAATCTGAGAAGTAAAACCTAGACACTCTGTGAGCTGCTCCCGAGATTGCCCTGCAGCCATTCTAAACATGTTCTTCCAAACAACTGCAGCTAGAATTATATCACTGGAAGTGATATAAACTTGAACATTATTTGGCGACTTGCTGAAGTTGGGCTACTGGAATGGAAGCCATTCTTCAGCTGGGGGATGAAGAAAACTGGCTGGTTTCATAAAAAACACTAAGGGACCTCCCCACTCCCATGACTTCCTTAGAATCACAGGGCTGGAAGGGACCTTAGAGGTCACTTAGTTGAATCCTCTGCCCGCACAGCAGGACCTCATTGAGCCTGGACAAATGGCTGTCCAATCTTTTCTTGAAGACCTTCAGTGATGAACCACCTACAACTCCCGGAGGCAAACAGTTCCATGGGTTAAGTGTTCTTTCTGTCAAGGAATTTCTCCTTATTGGATTTCTATATTTCTCTTTGACAAGCTTCCACCCATTGCTTCTTGTCCTGCTCTCAAGTGCTTTGGAGATTAAGTCGATCCTCTCCTCCCTGTGACTGTCATTCAAGTTCTGGAAGGCAGCTACCATGTCACCCTAGTCCTTCTCTTCACTAGGCTAAACCAGGGGTGTCAAACTCAAGGCCTGGGGGCTGGAACCGACCCGCAGGGCGTTTAGATCTGGCTTGCAGGGCCGCCCTGGAAATAGCCAAGGACTGGCTGGATCCGGCCTGCAGCCCTCCCGAGCTCTGTTTTTGCTGGTAGAGCGCTGCAGAAGGCCATCGCAGCCGAAAACAGAGCTTGGGAGCCCATTTTCGCTGGCAAAGCGCTTGGGCCATCACAGGCACCCCCGACACGAGTGATGGCAAGCTGGCCATACCCACCCTGGGCATGCCCACTCTGGCCCCCAGGTCAAACATAATAACCCTGATGTGGCCCTCAGTGAAATCGAGTTTGACACCCCTGGGCTAAATGGTTCCCTTAACTGTTTATTGAACAGTTGAACCTCTAAAATACCTATCATCTTTGTTGCTCTTCTCTGCACTCTTTCTAGGGTCGTGTTGGCAAATCTATGGCATGCATGCCGGAAGCGGCACGCAGAGCCACTTCTGCTGGCATGCAAGAGCTCGCCTGGAAGAGCCCAACTGTGCATGCGTGCGTGCCACTGCCACCCGACAGCTGATTGTCGGGTATCTGGTGAGCAAGCATGGGGGAGCATGGGAGACGTGCACGCATGCGCAGATGCAGTGGAGGGGGGGAGTCACGCACACATGCGCAGAGATGTGCAGCGTGGGGGGAACCACGTGCGCATATGCACAGCAGGGGGATCGCATGTGCACCCACAGACACGCGGTGCGCATGTGCAGGGGGGTGATCGTGTGTGCATGCGCAGGGGGCGTAGAGGGGCCAGCACTTCTGGGTGCTAGCATGTGAGCTCGTGCAATTATCGGCATGGGAGCTGAAAAAGGTTGGCCACCACTGTTCAAGGGTCTCAGCCTCTTTTTTTTTTTTGTTCCATGAAAAATCTTACTTAGGGATTGCAATTTATTCTTAAAACTAAATATAGTTCCCAGAGTAGTTCCACAAACACCTTCCTGCCATTAGAAATTTTTTCAGTCAATGTATGGACAAACCCTAAGCTAAACTAAAGGAGAATATTTGTAGCTCAGGGTTGAAATGAGGGGTTTTTTGGTGTTCTCTGAGCTTGGTGCTTTTCTTGCAGACCTTTCATTACCCTAACTTTGTAACATCATCAGTTACACAGTCATTAGTAACATGACAATGTTACCTAGTTTGGGTTAAATCAGCTGCAAGAAAGCAAGCAAGCTCAGAGAACACCAAGGACCCCCGAAGAATCTACATCTGGTTGATTTTGCTTCTACATCATAGCGCTTGAATTCTTTTCTGGCCTTAGTTATATCATATTTCACTCCTTCTGCAATTTTAATACCACACAAAAATTAATATTTAGAATAGAAAAACCACACCAGCAATTCTCTGCTCCCAAATGATTTTACCACGTATTCGGAACAGAGTTGCCCGACAAGAAAGTAAGCACTGAAGCACATAAAATAGCAGCTTTCTACAGATGTTTTCACTGTACCGTTAGTGGGTTGCTCAGCCTGCGAAACCTGAGCCACGAGGTCCTTATTGTGTCTCAGAAACAGGATGGTGTTTCTCAGGGTAAGAGCGTGATCAAAGTATCTTTGAGCTTCACCCTCTCCTGTACTCTGAACCTGAATAAGAGAAGACAAATATGTACTGTCTACGCAAATGTGGTTGCCACAACAAATTGAATTAAGGCATTACACAACATTCCCAACACAAGGATTAGGAGTATGTCACAGCTGCTTTGATTCTCTGAAGAAAAAAAACAGTATCTATTGCATTGGTAGCGATTATATTCCTAGTACTTGGGCAACCTGTACCGTACGAAAAATGGAAGGCAAAATTCAGTACTTTAGTTAACGCTGCTGGATCCATTTTTACGGGTTAGCTTTGGGTGCATATAAATAGCTATATATGATTATGGACAGAAAACTTACCTATACAAATGGATCCCGACAGAGGAGGTGTGCAAACCTTCTGTCTCCCAGCCTAATTTCAAAGCTCCACTCCAAGAGATCTGTTCAGCCCCCGCCCGCCGCCCGCCCACACCTGACCCAGTTACAGCTCTCTATGCCTCCCCTGCTGCTTTGGAAAGAGAGGGGAGCATGTCAGGAAGACAATGGGTGACTCGGCCACATGCGCTGTGTGGCTTGTCACAGATTATCTCTGATCCTCTGTGATTTGAATAAAAAGCTCATCTCTGCTATAGAATAACAACAGCACCTAGACCAGGGCTGTCAAAACTCCAGGCCTGCGGGCCAGATGCGTCACACGCTGGCCACACCTGGTTTAGCGAAGGGGAAAAAGCCCCAATATGTCATGTGACACCCCTGACTTAGACTCATATACCACTTTACAGTCCTCTCTAAGCGGTTTACAGAGTCAGCCTATTGGCCCCAACAATCTGGGTCCTCATTCTACCCACCTCGGAAGGATGGAAGGCTGAGTCAACCTTGTACCTGGTGAGATTTGAACTGCCAAACTGCAGGCAGCTGGCAGTCAGCAGAAGTAGCCTGCAGTACTGCACTCTAACCACTGTGCCACCGCGGCTCATAAAGTTTAAACCAGTTTTTAAGAAAGTAAGGATGATAGTAGTAAAGAAGAGAAAAATGGAATGATGATAAAAAAAAAACTGATTAACTAAAAGATACAGGTAGTCCTTGAATTATGACAAGAGAGTTTGTGTTTCTAAGCAGAGACAGTTGTTAAGTGAGTTTTGCCCCATTTTACAACATTTCTTACCACTGCAGTTGTTAAGTTAGTAACACAGTTGTTAAGTGAAATCTGGCTTTCCCATTGACTTCGCTTGTCAAGAGGTCTTAAAAAATGAACACATGACCCCTGGACAGTGCAACTGTCAAAAATACATGCCAGTTGCCTGAATTTTGATCATGTGACCATGCAAACGATGCAACAATTGTAAGTGTGAAAAAAGGTCACTAGTTACTTTTTTTCAGTGCTGTTGTAACCTTAAATGGTCACTAAATGAATGATTGTAAGTCAAGGACTACCTGTAATAAGCAAAGCTTTTTCGTATTTTTTTTTCTAGCAATTCAATTATCCAGGGTTTCAGTTATGTTTGATAAAAACCCCACCACCATGTGCTGAGGTATACTAGGAAAATAAATGGGGGTGGGATAGAGGGAGAATATATTATTGATTAATATGGGCAATATTATTTCTACATGCCTGCCAACTGGATCCAGCACCTCAAGCAGGTTTCTATAATCCTATTAACTGTCCCAAAGTTTTGTCTTTGTCAAGCAGGGAAAGGAAGAAAGGTCACAGTAGTATGATCTTTGGATTTTGAGGAGTGACTTGTATGCTGTAACTAGAAAGACTTTAATGCAAGACAGTATTCCTGTCACATTTTGATCACTGCCACAAGAATTGTGCTGTGTAAAAACTCACAGGGGTCAGGGTTGTTGTTTGTTTTTTTTTACCTTTTCAAGTTCCACCAGAAAACTGTCCAGTGACTCATCGGACAGTTTTCCTACTTCGAACATGGTGACTGCATGACTTTTCAAATTCTGCAAGACAAAAATGCAACATTACTCATTTGCAGATATAATTAAGAGGTAAAAAGCACCTAGAAGAAGAACATAGATTAAAAATGCCTCTTGAATGCCATTTGTGATAATCAGCGCTTTAAAACTGATCCACAATCCCGTTTAAAATAAAAGAAATCCAAGGACACTTCAACATCTTGAGTTCAACCAGACTGAGCAAGTTATCTTACCGGCGAAAGATTCCCCATCATTAAAAAGGCCGTCAGAGTTGAATCAAAGAGGAATGCTATCCTCTTTGTGTGTGCAGTAGATAGACTTAAGCTGTTCACACTGGCTGTGTCACCTTGGAAAGCAAAACAAATTAAATTAAATTAAAAAATCAATCCAATAGAAAAGGAATTCTACGAATCGGAACTGCCTACCCTATTTTTGGACTCACCACCTAGTTGGGGTAGCGTCAAACAGTGTGATGGACAGCTTGCCAAACTGAGAAAATCGCTCTCTACTGCCCTCATCCACCAGCCATTGGGACATGCTCTAAATCAGGGGTCCCCAACCTTGGCAAATTTAAGACTTGTGGACTTCAACTCCCAGAATTCCTCAGCCAGAGAAGCTGCCTGGAGTTGAAGTCCACAAGTCTTAAAGTTGCCAAGGCTGGAGACCCCAGCTCTAAATCAGCTGATGTGCTATTATACTGTAGGTTTGTGTCGCTCTTGCAATTAAAACCTGAAATACTACACAGAGCTTACAACTTACTTACAACAGTCTACTTACAACCATTCATTTAGTAGCCGTCTGAAGTTGCAAAGGCAATTGTAAAAAGTGACTTATGACTGATACTCATACTTATGACTGTTACAGCAATCCTACGGTCATGTGTTCAAATTATGGGCACATGGCAACATTTGTGGCATCCTGGCATCGTATGATCTCCATTTGAGATCTTGTCTTTCTGACAAGCAAAGTCTTAATAACAGCTTAACAACTATGCTTTTCACTTAACAATTTCAGTGATTCAGTTAACAATCACGGCAAAAAAGGCCCTAAAACTCAACTCGCTTAACCACCATCTTGCTTAGAAATGGTCCCAATTGTGGTCGTAAGTCGAGGATTATCTGTATAGTACTTAAGCACCAAACATGATAGTGAATAAGGCCTTAAGTATCCCAGCATATCTAACAGCCAATGCTCAGGTGCTCTGAAATGCAAATAGGCTGTGAGAAATATCAAGGCAAGAAATTTAATTGACAGAAAATCCTGTGTATCACAATCATAGTATCTGTGAGCAATTCTGACTACGTTAGGCAGCAGAGACACTACATTGGGTGCTTTCTTATTTGGGTAAGGTGCCTTGAATAACCTAACAAAAGCCACATTTCCTTTGGCTTTCAGCTGGAGATAAGACAAGACACATCCTTCCTGCAGAGTTCTACAAATGTAGTGGTTTAGCGTGAGATAAGGATGGAATCTTCACCTTAAAAGAATACAGGGAGATTCATCCACAAAATATACCGTAATCTACTGCATAGTGTGTTTTTTTTCTTAATCAGTGGCGCCCACTTCACTGCTAGGTCCCCCCCCCCCCCAACTTCAATGCCACTTGCACTCCGAGACTGGCATGTCTGAAACAAATCCTTGCAATTCCTGCAGTCAGTGAAAGAATCCCTGCGACACGTTGCCAGCAGAGATCAGAAGACGCCAGGCCCATTAATGAGAGGCACGGAATGGTATGAACTGCAACTAATAAACTAGCCGTCAGCACCGAAATTGCTCACCTTGGTCATCTTGACTGTTGATATCTGTATCGGTGGCAGAAGAGCCAGCCTCTTGGACAGGACTCCTGCTTTCTCCACTCTCCCAGGATAACAGCATCTTCTGTGGGTCCAGGGTTGTTCTGACAAGGGGGAAAATGTGCCATAGGAAGAGTCTTATTGGATCAGATCAAAAGACTTCCTAATCTGGAATCTTGTAAGTCAAGCTTCTGCCTCCTGAGGAGTCTACAAACAGGATCTGAGACAGAAGATCCCTCCCGCCGCTGTGCCCCAGCAACTGATCTGAATGACTGAGGTTGTGAAAATAGGCGGAACGGTCATCTCAAAATAGAATAACCATTCTAGAAGTGTACAGGCTCTCAGCAGAGATTTGAGTTATGTTTTTAGGCTCTTACAGTCCCAACGTTCACTATCCGAGCTTCTAGCTTGCTATCACTGAACCCACAGATTAAATTAGACTTCTCTGGGGAACTGGTTTTAATCAGTGAAAAGGAAAAAAAACCTCTTTATTTATTTTGTGAAGCGATTCTGTAGAACAAAGTTTTGGAAATGGAAAGATGTAAAGGTGCTTTTCCTTTGTGACAATGAGTGGCAGCCTTTTTAGCTGTGTGTTTGACAGTTTAAAGAGGCTCCATTGAATTCAAAGGCTTTTATTTGTAGGCGTGTATAGGATTAGACTCTGTACTTTGCTGATTTCATCATAAAATCAAACTGCATCAGAACTTTACTAGGAGTTTGCAAAGGACATAAGGTCCTTGAAAAGGAAAGCTCTTTTTTATATGCCCAAGAGATAAAAATTGATGGTGCTGGAATGCAATCCATAAGGGTCTGTGATATACTTCTTGCTATGTTTCACAATAAGATTACAGTAAACTAGCCAAGTTTTTCTTTAAAGTGGCAGTTTCTTCATGTTCACCTTACCCAATATTTCATTAGACCACAGGTGTCAAATTTTCCATGTCACGTTGCCATCACGTGATGTTTCGCGACGTTTTTACCATTTGCGGAGCTTGGGAGGGCGCGGCCTGGTTCTGACATATCAGGCCCATGGGCTGCTAGTTTGACACATCTGCGTTAAGGCTCTTGATGTTAGGTCTTGGAAAACCAGCACGAGAATACGATTTCACTTATGACCACAACCGAGCCCAAAATTTCTGTTGCTAAGCGGGACAGTTGTTAAGTGAGTGTTGCCCTATTTTACAACCTTTCTCGCCACAGTTGGTAAGTGAATCACTGCAGTTGTTCGTAACACAGTTAAGTCAAGCTGACTTCCCCACTGGCTTTGCTTGTCAGAAGGCCGCAAAAGGGGATCACATGACTGTCCTAATTCTGAACCAGTTGCCAAGCATCCGAATTCTGATCACGTGACCATGGGGATATTGCAACGGTTGTAAGTGTGGAAATGGTCATAAGTCGCTTTGTTTCAGTGCCGTTGTACCTTTGAATGGACACTAAATGAAGGGTTTTAAGTCATGGACTACTTGCATTTGAATGGAAATCATTAAAAAAAAAACCCTCAGGTAAAAGAATTTGCCAGGAAAGACAGAGCAGCTCCCTGCTATGTTCCTTCTGCAGGCAGGCATCAATATTTTAATTCAGGCAAGGGGGCCTGAGACGGATCACTGGGTTTTCAGTTGATAAAGTAGGAAGGAGGGAAAGAAAGAGAGAGATACCATATTTGGTATTTGTTTCTCAGCACATGTCGTAATTATATTTCAATGGCATTACTGCATTTAACTTTTATCAGCTACTTTGTGGGCTGCCTTGAACATCATCTACTGATCTCTTGGTGGAAAAGCAAAATATCACTCCACCTTTTAGAAATACTTCGATTCCAAACAGTACAGTAGCTTTTGGAAGAATATTTTAGGAATACTTTGATTCCAAAAAGTACAACTACTTTTAGAAGAATATAAAGGTATCACTTGACTGCAATTTAAGGCAACGGTGTCTTTTTTGTGGCATCACAGCCATACAGGGCCACTGTACAATCCGGGGGAAAGATATAGCTCATTTTAAAAGTTGGAAATGAAAGCTATTTTTCTACCGCCAAGTTTTCTGAAGCAACTTTTTGCAAATGAGTACAACTCTCATATACATAATCCTCTACACCAGTGTTTTTCAACCTTAGCAACTTTAAGATGCCTGGATTTCAACTCCCAGAATTCTCCAGCCAGCTATCTTAAAGTTGCCAAGTTGAGAAACCTTGCTCTATGCATATTATTGACTATTATCTACTATGATTCTTCAGAACAGCGTTTGGATAAATGCTCAAACACAGAGTAAAACTGAGGTAGGAAGCTGGGAAAATTATCCTCTCTGCTTTCAGTGTAAAATTATATTTTTATACTTACTTTAGCCTGTTTATGGAGGGAACGTTCCGCCAAGATAAATGAAGATTATCCAGGTTTATTACTTGACCCTTTTTATGGGCAAACCCTAGCCGGCAATACATGGAAACAGCATTCTGGAAAAGAAAACAACATCCTTCCATCAGCATGCTGTATTTTAACAATTTTTAGAAAGAGAAAAAGAGAGAGACGTTGAGCAACAGAAGAGTTAATCTTTTCTCTTATTTAATTAAATAAAGTGGAGGCCTACCTTTACAAGCGACAAATCAATCTCAAGGACATTTGCTAGCTGAAAAATATACAAAATAAGTAAGGTTTATTGATAATTGTGTTCATATACGTCATTTAAAAAGTCACACTTATTCAATGCTGACCATATTAAGAGAGCCAAATGACTGAATTATATAATGTTTTCTTGGAATATTTAACAACATTTCATCATGGTGAAATAAAAGCAACCGATGAATTCATCGCCCTGGTCAACTGGCTAGCATTCAAATACTATTGTAAATACATTTCAAGTGTTTAGCAGAGGCTTAAGATATCAATACATTCCGCAATGATAAATCTGCAGCACCTTATGGAAAATGCATTCTTACACAATTTCAATCTCAGCAGCTTTCATGCAACTGGAAGCAGTACAATATATATTTCGAAATCCCTTTGGGCCTAAAGTCCCTTGGCCCAAAATTTGGTTGATAGTCTGATCTAGCATAAATTAGCTTTGTTTGTTAATGTGAAGGCAGATTTCAGAGAAGTAAGTTGAAGTATTTTCAGAGCTACAGTTCATTTTACAGTCATTTCAAGGATTTATGACATGTAGCTAGGAATCTGAGTTATCATACTTTCTATTGGAAAATGTTTTCCATTAGCACAAAAACGGTGAGGGAGAAGTAGCACGTTCTTCTGGTTATTTTTCCAATTTAGCACAGCGATCTTACACCATCATCTCCATAATTGTTGTGGTTAGCCAGCAGCAGGTGTGGATGGCTGAGGAGAGCGAGGACTCAGATAAGGGGCCAGGACCATTAGGGAATGGACTGCTGGCTTTAGAGATTGTGGGGGCTGGCAGCAGCGATGAGGAAGTTCCTGAGGAGCCTGTGCCAAGTGTGTGTGCGCCCAGGGCTGCTTGCAGGAAAGAGCAGCTGCAGCAGCATGGGTGAGTTGGGAGTAAGGCTGCAAGGTAATGCCCCCTCCTTCAAGAAGATAAAAGCCAGCTGTGAATCGGACGTTCTTTGCAGGAAGCAAAGATGTTTTGAAACTCGAGCTTCGTGGACAGTGCAGTATCTGAGTTGGTATTTGAAGACTCTTGAGTTGTAAAATATTTCTAGGTAACTTTATCTGTTATTTTTGGCAGCCTTGCACAGTTTTGGCGAGGCTCATGCTTATCAAAGTTAATTAGTTTACAGCAGCCTTTTAACCGGGGATTCATAAGAATCATTTAAAGGTTTCTGTTCCCTTTGGTTCGTGTTTGTTTTATTGGGAAAGGGTTTGGGTCAGAACAGTAATAGAGATTGAGTGGGAGATGATGATAAAGTCACAAACTGGCTCCTCATGAGACTAGTGGCATCAAATGGTTGAGAAGTGAAGTGTGTAGTGAATCTGGCTTCCCCATTAACTTTGCTTAGAAGGTCGCAAAAAGACGATCACATGACCACTGCAACCGTCATAAATATGAACCCGCTGCCAAGCATCTGAATTTTGATCAGAGGATTATGGGGATGCTGGAAAGGTTGAAACTGTGAAAAATGGTCATAATTCACTTTTTTTCAGTGCCGTTGTAACTTTGAACGATCACTAAATGAACCATTATAACTCGAGGACTATTTGTACTAAGAACTAAAAGGCGGCGTCTATCTGCAGTCCTGGGAGAACTGTTGCCAACCCACTACAACAACCAATTGTTTGTTTGTTTATATTTTCACAATTTATATTTATATGGTTGCTCATTTCATCCATGGGACTCTGGGCAGCTACAGGAATTAAAATTCACTACAATATAAATTGAGGAAAAAATCAAATAAAAATCTAAATAAGTAGCTGAGCACTGATTTCTCACCTCAGATAAAAGCATTGATTTATCACCTCAGAGAAGTATTGAAAGACTTACCTCTGCGACGTTTGTGTGTTCGTCTATGGAAACAAATATCTTGTACAGCAGAGTTTCAAAATAATCTCCCTGCACTCTGTTCATAACAAATCCTTCCAGTGGTGGCACTGAAAAGAAAAGCTATGTTTTTAAGGATATTGTTAGGTAGAAAAAAGAAATGCCGTTTTAATCAAAGTAAGAATACACAATAGAATTCCTGCTTCTGTCTCAGAAGAGAAATTGGCCTTTCATAAATGAATGAGATACAGACTTACACTTATTTTTCTACTTCTGCATTAGCACATACAGGTAGTCCTTGACTTACAACCATAGTGAATCCCCGCATTTCTATTGCTAAGTGAGGCAGTTATTGAGTTTTGCCCCATTTTCCCACCTCTCTTCCTACAGTTGTTAAGTGAATGACTTCAGTTGTGACATTAGTAATATGGTTGTTAAGTGAATCTGGCTTTCCCATTGACTTTGATTGCCAGAAGGTTGCAAAAGGGGATCATATGACCCTGGGATGTTTTAACCGCCAAAAAATTACATGCTGGTTGCCAAGTGCCCGAATTTTGATCGCATGACCACGGGGATCCTGCAACAGTCATTAAGTGTGAAAAACAATCATAATTCACCTTTTGCATTGTTATAACTTTGAACGGTCACTAAATGAACAGTTGTAAGCTGAGAATTATCTCTATGAAATGCGTAAATGGGACATATCCATCACACATATACTGTAAGTGTCAGGATTCTAGCAATTATCCCAATTAAATCATGATTCTAGAGCCGAACTTTAAGAAACTTCAAGGGATTTATTACAGGCGACATACTGGCACTGCCCTGTATGAAGCCAACTCTGGCATACGTAATTCATAAACGATTCTCCAATTGAGCACATTCATGGGCTAGGTGTCATCATCCACGTTCTCCAATTAATTTGCGGACAAAAGCTCCGGTATTTTAGTTACAATTTTTTAAAGCTAAGAGTTGGAATGTACTTTCACTTTCAAACTGCTGCACTGCTCTTCCAGACTTCCTTCCTCCCCCTTCCCTTTTTTTATGGCAACTACTAAAACGGGCATAGGAATGTTTTATAAGTTGACAGTAAGGCTTTTCAACATGAAAATTCTCATGTAATATTCCTGTACAATTGTTGCCCTTGGACTTTATTGGGTTTTTTTTATTACTGATAATGATAATGAAGCAAACGCATTTGCTCACAGTTTTTTTCTTTAGCTTTCAAATAGGCTAGGAAGAGGATATAGGGTGAAGGGTAATGAAATAATATATGGTTAGAACAAGCGCTGTTTCCTCCTTCTAACTATGACTTAGGATCAGTCAACAAAAGCTAAATTATGGAATATGCAACAATATCAAAGTGTTTTGGCAGGCAATGAAACTGAAATCTGGAATTCAGCATCATTATGTCATTAAACCATTAAGTCAACTGTCTACAGCAGGGGTTCCTGGGCTGTGGTCCCTTTGGAACCCGGCCCCATATGCATGTGGGGGCGCATGCTTGCGTGCCTAACGTAGGGCCTGTCAAATTTTTCAACTTTCAATTTCCAAACATTAGAGGTGCTCACAGGTTGTGACACGCCTTGGGGATTGTAAAGGTATTTTGGTTTCTTTAATATAACTTAGAGGTGCTTGATAAGTAACTACATGAATATAACTTTTTAAAAATGTTTGTTTCATGCTGCATAGCTCCACTTGCACAAGCAACAGGTGAGTGCACGGAAGCATCCCCCCCCCCCCCCCCCGCCAGTCTGCAAAGCCAGAAATAATGGAGACCGCTGGTCTATTGAGATTCTCAGTCACCCGCGTCATGATTGTCCCAAAGCTGCTTTTTCAAAAGGCAACTTGACTTTGTTCTTCCTTGAAGATGTTTTGCTTCTCATCCAAGAAGCTTCTTCAGTTCTGACAGTTTCTTCAAGGAAAAACAAAGTCGAGTTGCCTTTTGAAAAAGCTCCTTTGGGATATTAAGTCAGTTAAACTATTATATGTTTAATTGTATCAATGTCCTGAACAGGTTTTTTTTTTAAAAAAGTTACACTTACCTGCTATGCAACTGTCATCGGATATTGGTACATCAAGGTAGATAAACCCCTTATTATATAAGCCTAGGGATACAAAAAAGAACCCCATTATTGTAACAGATTCTCATGCAGTGTCTTCAGTTTGTTGTGCTGAGAAACAAAGAACGTGTGACAGAGTTCAGAAAATGGTACATGGAATACTGACAGTTATGTCCACATTTTCCTCTAGTTCTAATTAAACCCAGTTGCTGTTTTGAAAATTAACCCAAATTGCTACATCCATGGCACAGTACTGGATAGAGGTGCTAGTAAGACAGGATACATCGATGGCACAGACTTGAGAGACATAAAACTCATTCTCTAAAGCAGCCTTCTCAACTTTGGCAGCTTTAGGATACCTGGGTTCTGAGACCTCTTAAAAGTTAACTTTAATAATTTTTTGAGTTGAAATGCAAACATCTTAAAGTTGCCCAGGTTGAGAAACACGGCTCTAAAGTATCCTTCCTTAACATGATTCTTTCTTCAAGACTGAAATTAATGGACTAGGAAACATGGGTGCACACACACACACACACACACACACACACTTATGCACAAACACACAATATAAGCATGTTGCTTTTTCGATGAGAGATTTCCTTTGAACATATTCAGATGAAAGTTCCAAAACAAAAGCAGCTGGGAAATTACAGTATAATTACAATTTTATTATCCTTATGCAATATTTGCTTAAAATATGATTCACTAAAATCCAAATCCATCTCTGAACAAGAATTAAATGTACATGTGTGTAATGAATTACATGTACTTTTATTGTACATTAAGCATACATTTCATAACTCTGTTCTCTAAAGAGCTTGGGGAAAAAAGACATTTTAGCTGAAGAAGTATCTGCAGTGAAACCTTGCTGTAACAGACCAGTAGATGGGAGTTATGTCCATTATTTCCAAATGCCTGTTAAATTGTCAGTTATGTTATTTGCAGCAGTTTACAATGTTATGTCCATTTGCATAATGATCTCATTTAGGGTTAATGATATTATTATGCCAATTGCCAGAAATGATGTGAAATTAATATAAATTCAATTTCCTTCAGGAAGATGCCTGGATAGAAATTTGGTTAACTGCATTCAAAAGCCACTTAAATTGGTTTTGTTAAAATGTGGTTTCACTGTTTATCAATTGTCACACATAATTATGCTAAAATCTCAAGTGTTATAAAAAAGAATTTGTTGGTTTTGTGTGTTGCTCAAATATTTCAGACAGATTACATTTTGCAACTAAATTCCAGCAGCATGATTCAGATGATTGAGACACTTATTCCATGAGCTGGAAGAGTTTTTTTTTTAAATTATTAAGGCTATTTGCAAATATGGCACAGCAAAACTATTTTCTAAATTGAAGGGAAATCCCAAATAACACCTGACTCAGCACTGGGATCAGCTGTTCTAACAAAGATACAGAATAACAGACTTATAAGGGATCTCAGAGGTCTTCTAGTCCAACCCCCTGCTCGGACAGGAAGCTCTATATCATTTCAGACAAATGGTTGTCCCATCTCTTCTTAAAAACCTCCAGTGTTGGAGCATCTACATCATCTGGAGACAAGTCATTCCAATGATTAATTGTTCTAATTATCAGGAAATTTCTCCTTAGTTCTAGGTTGCTTCTCTCAATTAATTTTAATTCACTGCTTCTTGTTGGCATTCAGGTGCTTTGGAGAATAGGGTGAACATCTCTTCTTTGTGGCAGCCCCTTAGATATTGGAAGACTGCTATCATGTCATGCCCTAGTCCTTGTTTTCATGAAACTAGACATACCTCATTCTTGCAACCATTCTTCATATGTTTTAGCCTCCAGTCTCATAATCATCTTTGTTGCTCTTCTCTGCACTCTTTCTAGAGTCTCAACATCAATTTTACATCATGGTGACCAAAATTGGATGCCATATTCCTGGATGCAGATGTTGAGACTCTAGAAACAGTAAAGAGCAACAAAGATGATTAGATAGTCTTACCAAGGCATTATAAAGTGGTATTAACACTTCACGTAATCTTGATAAAAACGGGAAAAAAATCATACAGCAAAAGGTAAACGCTCAAATTATTCTCTACTCATTGATTCTCTATAATATGGATGCTTTCCAATATTTTAACTTCAAAAATAATATGCAAAAATTACTCTTTAGTTTGGAAGAAAAAAAAAACATGTAACTCACTGTGAACAATACTGTAGTCCAGGATTCCAGCAAGCTGAGGACCTGAATCAATGATTTTATCAACTGCAGTTTTTTCACAGGGTGTGCATATCTAATGGGAAAAGTGTGTATTAAATAATGTATGCATAAGGTTTTAAAAATTATCTGATGTAGAGTGGGCAACGAAGAACACAATCTATGCCTATGCTGAGAACCCACTGTTTGATTCAATGCTAAATTTTCCATTAGAAAAAGATGCATGTTTTCTATCATGTTAATTCGGGATCTCTTAATGAAATTGTACTTAGTAGGAAGATATAGATAGATAATATATATATATTTGAAACACTGCATAATTAAGTTTATGAAATTAAGCCACAGTTTATTGCTGCTGTGATTTTCAAGCAATTTTATCAAACATAATTCACCAAAACAAAAAGTTTCTGATCATAACAGCTCAGGTTTTTAGGTTCATGATTTCGAAGTGGAGGTACATTTTTAGCAGTCCACCCACAAAGCGTAACTTTAACTAAGCTGGAAAAAATAATTTTATTTATACCTTAATGTCATCCTCTGTGATATAACCGGCTTGTACTACCCACCAAGCTTCAATGGCAATTTCTACTGGTTTCATGGGTAGCAGATCACGGGCAGTTTTCCTTCTAAAAAATTTCTGAAATGGTTTAAGAAGAAATTAGGTTTTCAAATGCAGAACACTCAAAACCTTTAACCACTGATAAGACTCTCTTTATCATTCAGCCTTGTTTCTGGCTGGGGAATTCTGGGAGTTGAAGTCCCCAAGTCTTAAAGTTGCAAGACCTCTGATGTAGACTGAAGTGAGAGACTGTAGTAGGTTCTGGTCCATATTTCAGTTTCCACTCACATAAATCTAAGTTCTTTTTAACTGAAGCACATGCATCCATCTGAGAAAAAAGTATTTGTGTGTATTTTTTAGAAGCCAAAGACAGTGATAATAAATACATAAGGATAAGGATTATAGATATCCAGAGCCTACAAATTAAGCTTTGCATCAGGGGTACCCAAACTCACTGACCCCCGCCTTTGCGAAGTTTTAGATTGGTCACCAACTCCCAGACATTTATTATATGAAAATAATTTATTAAATACTGCTTTAATTGATAAGAATTCCAATGCTTATGAAAATCCCTTCAACCCATGGAGCTGATCATTCTGGAGAACCCTGCCTTTCTTGGTCACATTAATCACCTTTGTTCTCTTTACTGTATTGTATTATACATGGACCTGCCATGCACTGATTTATTTAACAACCATGGCAAGAGAAGTTGTAATATGGGGGCAAAATTCACCTAAAAACTGTCTCACTTAACAACATAAATTTTGGGCTCAACTGTGGTCATAAGTCAAGGACTGCCCATAACTGAAAAATGCAGAGGTTTACCTTCCAAGCCATAAGGTGAAAGAAAGAAAGCTTTCCATGTGCTGAGACTTATCAGAAGCACTTTTCCAAGGAAACTGAGCAAGCAACTGGTTTCAGAAATCTCTTTGGAGTGAGGCACACAATTTATTTTCCAAGCTGTTTCTGAAGGCTGGGATCTTTTTGATTTCCCAAGATTTTAAAGCTATTCAGCCAAACTGAATCCATCTCCCTATTGGAGCACTTTTATTTCTGGGAAAGTGATTCAGTCACACATTTATAATATTGTGTGATCAGTGCTACCGTGTTCTTTTTATTTTAGGTGCATTCTGTTGAAAGGCAGGGTATATTTTTTAATCAATAAATAGATATCAAAGATGTGCAAGATGATGGCAGGATATTTACTGCCATATTTACATTCCCTCCAGAATTTGAGAGAAAGCCATAGACTAAAAAAAAAATGACCCTTGTAACTTGGCAAAGATGACCAGATACAAACAGTGGCAAGCCAGTATCTCATAAACTGCCAACTGTAACCTGCCAAAACAAACTGTCCTTGTGGGTAGCCTCATAACTCACCAAGCCAAAGAACTGGAAATCGGAAAACACTCCTTTTAGCTTGCAAAAAAACCCAAAACAAAACAAAACAAAACAAAACAAAACAGGCTAGGGACAGTACGAGTGCTCAAAACTATGAACATATTTGTTTTTATATCAACTTCTAAAGAAGAGGCCAACAGTAGATCAAATGGAGAAAATAGAATACATACTTTTGATGACCTACATTGGTTCATCAGATCAATATACTGGTTTCTTCCTATGCCAAGAAGCCTTAAGCCTGGGGAAAAAAATAAAAAAGCGATAAATCTCTTAAAAACAGAAATCTATTTTGAGAGAAACTATTACTAATATGCAACATTGCTTCACCCTCCCCTTCTTTTTGCTCTACAACCCAAAAAGGCACCCATAAATGGGCAAAACAATAGATTTATCTGAACGTCATTTGTCATTAAAATAACATTCAGTTGAAGACAGTCATTATATTCTGGCTGATTGAAAACAAGCATTTTGTCTGGAATTATCGTGCATTTTTATAAGTCTAATAATCTAAACATCAATTACATTCATCCTTGATGCAAAAGTTACGTAAGAACTTTATCTGAAGGACATCTGTTTGAAAGCAGTTGTTTTTAAGTTAGAACAAAGAAGGCCTTCTTAATTCTCCTACAACTTGGAAGATTTCAAACAAAATATATATCCTTGTAACAGCTTTTATCGAAGACAAGCATTGTTTTTAAAGTTTGTCCTGGAATTCTGAGCTTTTAATCCAAGATCTGTATTTGTGCAATGGAAAAGAGAACCAGTATACCTGCAAGAGTCATTTATTATAAGTTATAACAATCTAACTAGAACATTAGTTAATCAGAAAACTAAACAAAGATAGATACATTATTCAGAGCACTGGTCAGTTGACAGCAAACTCTGTTAAAAGCCATGTTATGAACTGCAAAATGATTGCAGTAAAACCACTTAAATAATCTAAATATAACTATTATGGCTTACAGCTGAGACAATAAACAGCTATTTAACAGTCATCTGATCATGGATAAAATTTATTTTGTTAACTTTCTCAATGTTATTCTCTTATCACTGTCTCTTTTGTTCTGTTTTCAGATGGCAGAGATTTACTATTAACTTCAAAAGCTCTCTTAAACAAGTGCTGCAACTTCAAAAATAGGAACTATCAGGCAGCTGGACTTTTGAAAGTAGGAAATTATTTTTAAAAACTAGGCACTTATTTAACACGTAAACAGAATGTAAGTTTATACTCACAGTCTGCAGCAGTAAAATTAGGCAATGAATCATAACTTTTTTCACTGTTCATTATGTCCTTTGTGAAAAGAAAAAAAAGAAGTGCAAAGTCAATTCAATCATTGTACTATTTAAACTTTATAGCTGTATCCTGATGCTACATCAGTATGTACTGCAAATCCTAAGTCTTTTATTTCAGAAAATTGCTGATTATCACTGGAAGTTTTTAAGAAAAGACTACACAGCCACCTCTTTACAATGGCATAGGGTCCCCTGCTTGAGCAAGGGGTTGGACTGGAAGCTCCAAGCTCCCTTCCAGCTCTATTCTGATTAAAGATTGATTACTGTCACTGATAAGAAAACTGGGATTAACTGCCAATTCAATCTCATCCTCATTATATATGTTTATTCCTTTGAAGCAGCTTCCTTGATGGAAAAAAATTGAATGGAAATCCCCAAATGGAATACAACTAATGCTCGATATACAACCATTGGCGATCATTCCAAAGTTATTACTTACCTAAGAAAGGTAAGGGGTTTGCAACTCGGCTATGAAATTCCTACAGTTGGGTACCTTGCTGCAGTCATGGCCACATTTAGGGCAGTCTGCAATATCCCCTGGTCACCTGACTGCACTGTTCAACAGTTTTGTTAAAAATTGGAAGTTACTTCTGGTTTTTGAAAAAAACCAGACCATAGTGAACAATGGGCTCATTTAACAACAGATGTCATAAAATTGGGTTGTGATGAACCATTTTACGACCGCTATGACATATGACCATAATGGATAGGCTCCATTATGGTCTTATGTTGCGAACTATCTGTACTAATGAAGCTTAAGGGATATGATGTTCCCCAACGTGTACCAGTAGCCTGAGAAAAAGCAAACACTAGACATGTATTTCCAATAGGCAAACATCACACTGCAATAGAAGGAAATAGTGCATTTTTAAAGAGTATTTCTCTAAGCTTACCTCCATTATTCCTGTGTAATATGAAAAAGGTGTTATCCTCAATCCCTTCACCATGATGTCAGACAAATGGTAGGGGTACAACATAAGATGATCTCTGCTATATTTTAACAGATCCTCATAGTATTTGCGTTCATCTTTCTTGATGTGCTTAACTGGAGAAGAAATGAAATGTCAGAACAACATTAGAATGTTAGAACAGTCATTAGTTAATGATATAAAGACATCAATGCAAACTACTTTACTTGCACACAAATCTGAACAATACCCTATGCGTCTATATAAGTAAGAAACTGAAATTTGTATCCCAGTGGGAGAAAAATTATATTCTTAGTTTATTATGAAATTGTTTATTTATATTTCATCTATATGAATGGCCCATCTTTCTCAAAGAGAGACTCTTAATACTCTACCTCTGTCTATTGCAAGATTATTTTCAGCAGTACCAAATGTGCAGAGTATAAAACATAGCAATAATGTGGATGGAATTGAGATCAACACCAGAATTAAATTCCATAATTTAAATGCATAATCATTAAAAAAAATGTACCACACAATAGTTACTACATATGCAGGATTCTTTTGGGTTTGTGCTGGCCAAGGATGATGAGAACCAAAATCCTTGAAACCAAGAGGAAGCCAACAATATCATTGCTCAGAACTGAGTTTTTATATGGGACAATGTACATAATGAACACAATCATCTAAGATGTGTCCACTCTCATGGGTGCAAAAGAGGGAGAGAATGGATTAAGTTTCTAGTTTATTGACAAATGTGACCTTTTTTTCTCCTATAAATAATCAATATAAAAGTAAACAAAAAGCCTTGGTAAATAATTTTTGCTGGTATTCAGATATTAGCAACTGGTGGCATGTGGAATTAATTAAGAAAGAAGACCAATCCAAAGAATTCAATGAATACTACTTAAAATATTATCTTTAAAAAACTTCCAGAGTATTTATTTAAAGCATGCATCTCATCCATTTTGCTCAGATTCAAGATTGCTTACAAACACAAGTGATAGGTTTATTATCTACATTTGTAAAATTCTAACCAAACACCTTGCCTTTAGTTGCTCTCATTGTTTATAATGTTTTACAGAAATTAATAAGAATTGATGTAATTTCTTGATTTTCCTTCATAAACTGGCCTACGTACTTCAGCAACAAATTTTTTTATTAGGGATTGTTTTTTTCATCATAGCCAGTATTGACAACATAGTTGCCAAACATTTCCCCTTCCCCAACTCTGTATTTCTTTACTCACCTAAGTTATTTCGGTACCGAAGTTGATTGCGGATACTGTAGAGTACAACCTGCTTTTCATATTCTCGTTGTGAGTTTCCAAGACCCTATGAAGCAAACAAACCACATTCATTAGGATAAGCTAATAAAAATTTGATGAACACTTGGATGTTCAGAGATTAACACCCATTCTTTCAGCTTGAAAATACTACTCATCTTAATGGATTACTTTTCAACAAGATGCATGATTGACTAATAGTAAAATCAATGTATTTTTGCTTAAAAGGATTGTTATAAAATATGATAATAAAAAGTAGTTGGGCATTTTTAATAGATAACAGATAATCAGAGTTGGAAGAGACCTTGTAGGTCATCTAGTCCAACCCCCTGCCCAAGTGGGAGACCCTACACCATTTCTGACAAATGGCAGTCCAGTCTCTCCTTGAAAGTCTCAAGTGATGGCGCTCCCACAACTTCCAAGGGCAAGCTGTTCCATTGGTTGATTCTTCTCATTGTCAAAATGTTTCTCCAACTACAACCAATTCTTAGAATAAATTTGCCTGTAATTTGGGAAAAAAATATCTGCAGGAAAAGTTACTTGAAAGACTGTTGATTTTATTGAGGCTGGCTGTGATTCAATTATCCCGTTAATCTTATGTGGGTAACAACTGTAAGGACCTAGTACAGAACTTGTTGCGAGCAGATACAATTCTGAGAATGGAATCAGCATGAATCTCAAAACCGTAGTGGTTTCTAGCATTCAAATATCACATGATTTTTATTTAGATATTCAATTTCTATAGCCAGCCATCTCAATCAATGCCTTTATACAACATATTGTATCAAACACATCACTAAAAATCATTGAAACATATCAATGCTTTTATACAATATTGCAGACCTGTTTTTGAGAACAGTCTAAAAAAAGGCCTTCACACAATCTTTTTAAACGCCACTACTAAATATTGCCACTGTCTACACATGTGTTGAGAGCAGTCTGCATCTGAGATTGTGAAAGATAACATATCAATTATAATGCACCATATAAACTTAAACCAATAATCAGATGTATAAGATGCCAAAAATGCAGAATAAAATTTATCATTCATTATCCTGGAACTGTGGAATGAAAAATTGGAACATCCAATCTTGGAAAATCAATGCATCCAGGTTTTAAAACACAAAACATGTATGATTTAAGAATGAAATCAATTCAATATAAAGTATTATTTCATAACTTTTGGAACTCTTGAAGAAAGTTTAGAAAATGTTGGACATTTGGTCTATTCTGCTGGAATTGTATAAAATTTGATATACAACTTTACTTTTGTTTAAAACCATAGCATATGTTAATGTACTTTGGGAAAGAAATACAATAGCTAAAGATGTAAATATGAACTATATCTGTATTCTGAAAGTGACTTTGTCACTTTGTGAAGAACTTTGGCTCAACCAAGTCTGGTGCTGAGAAAGAGTATAATCTTAAGTAAACAGAAAGAAATTTCTTGATAATAAGAAATGGATTCAAGATATGAGTTGCTTTTTCATTTTCTTAAAAATTCCAATCTTTAATCTTTTCACTACTGAAAACATTAACACAATTAAATTTAACACTAAGAATTAATTAGAATGTTAATACGGCACTGATACAAGTGACATAGTTACCGGCTTGCAAAATAAATGCATGCAATTCTGCCATAAAGAGATTATAACAGCACTGATTATAACTGTTCCACATCATGTGTGTTAGAATGAGTACAAGAATGCTCATCTCTTTTAATCTGTGATGCTGGGAAAGGTGGTAGAAAAGAGGATGGCCAGCAATAAAAGGGGATGGACCCAGTTACAGCGGCAATGATGACTTGGATGATAGGTGAGCGGAAGACCTGAAAGACCAGGGGAGGGACAGATTAAGATTGAGGGACTCTATCATTGTGGTCGCTAGGAGTCAAAAATGACCTTATGGTATATAATCAATAGCACCTCAAATCAATCAAAACAGAGCTGGAAGGGACCTCGGAGATCTTCTAGTCCAATCTACTGCTCAAGCAGGAAACCCTATATCTTTTCAGACAAGTGTCTGTCCAGTCTTTTCTTAAAAACCTCCATGTTATAAAGCACCTACAACTTCTGATTAGTTGTTACCATTTAGTAATTTCAAGTTATATCTGCACAACTCCCTAACCCATAATTGGCTTAACCATGCTTTATTGAGCTAATCCAGTTAAGTGATCTTAACTAATAATGCTGTCCACACAAACTACTTAATCCAAGCGAGCTAATCACATTTTAATTCAAAGTGTTTTGTGAACTCATTTTAGACACCATCTTAATATGCTCCTGTGGCAGAGCCACAGGTAACCTGGAGCTGAGGAAACACTTGAGAGTCTCTGTAGACTCTCTCTCCAGGTCATGGTTATCCCAAAGGTGCTTTTTTTATCCATGAGGCAACTGGACTTTCTTGGGTTTTTTTTCTTTTAAAGAAAAAAAGAAATTTATATTCCTTGCAGACAGCTGGTCACTTGCATCCTTTTCGAAGCTAGTTGAAGCACTTGGAGGTTTATCTGTGTCGTCAGGGTCACAGTGCTCCTACTTCCCTCTAAAATGGGTCTTCAAATTTGACAGCTTGACTTGTGGACTTCAACTCCCAGAATTCCTCCTCCGGTCATGTTAGCTCAGGAATTCTGGGAGTTGAAGTCCACAAGTCTAAAACTTCCCAAGTTTGAAGAGCCCTGCTCTTAAAAGGAGGCAAATGACCAGCTGTCTGCAAGGAATAGAAATCCTTCCATTCCCCACCACCCTGTCAGAGCGGAAGAAGCTTCTTGGATGTCTTCAAAAGAAGAAAACGAAGTCCAGTTGCCACCTGAGGGGGAAAAAAACAGCACCTTTGGAACACTTGAGAGACTGTCTTTCTCCACCTCACTAATGGCTAATGGAAGATTAGCCAATCCTTTGGAGTAGAAAATCGTGCCTTATGTTCAACCAACACTCTTCCAGTAAAAGGGAACTGGCGTTCGGATTAACGAGGCCCTAAGTTAGTCAATGTGTCTCAAACCTGGCAACTTTTATTCATGTGGACTTCAACTCCCAGAATTCCCAGCCGGCAAAGGAGGACGCAGGCATCCACGTGCGTACCTGCCCTGGGACAAGGGTCATTGACCGGCATTGCCTTAAGCCTCCTCGGACTGCGGCTCACCCCGTTCCCAGCCCACGGGGGCGGGGGGGGTATTGCTCGGGAGAAAGGGGAACCGCAGCCCGCTGCGCTACATCGGGAAGGAAGGAGGGCCGAAGAGGAACTTCCAGCATGGACAAGCGGGGGAAACGAACTTGACTTTTGTCTCAACCTGAGTGGGCTACGGACAGCCCGGGGGGTCAATTTCGCGGGAAGTCGGAGAGGGCTTCGTTTGAGTATGGGTGCCGGGAGGGCTCAGTCACTCGGTACCTGCTTAACGCTGGCGGGGAGACGGGCCCAGGGGTAGTTATGGCGAATGTGGAACTCCACGTCCACATTCATGGCAGGTTCCCCGGGATGGGGTGGAGAGAGCAAGGGAGAACGGACGGAGGGTTGGCGGGCCCCAGGTCCTCTTCGCGGCCGCCTCAGCCCCGCTTCTGAGGCGACCCCACGCAACTGCTCAAACTTGATTTCCGCTCTCCCTCGCCGCTTCCGCGTTGTGGACGCCGGCGGGCCCGCCCCACCATCCTACGTCAGTTCCGGCGCTTAGGCGAGTTGCGTGATCGGGTGGGGGTTGAGGAGGAACGCGCGCGGCGGATCTATGGGGTGGTCCTGTCCAGTGAATAGAAGAGACCTGGAAGGTACCTTGGAGGTCTTCTAGTCGAGCCCCCTGCCCTCCTGTATAATGAGCAATTCCATTAGCTGTAATAGTTCCTTATTACAAAATAAAAAATATAAAAAGTACCCTTTTTTGCCTTATGAGAAAGAATCCTTGAGAAGCCGAGAAATGGGACCGTTGAAACGTCGGTCTGGCAACACCATATCTGTGAAACTACGACTCCCATGATGCTTGGGGCACGCTCCTCCCTTTTGTTTGTGACGTAGTAGAGAATGGAAGGAAGGCGGAGTCTAAATATTAACCTGAAGGACCTTATTTCACCTGGACAGGTAGTCTTTGACTTAACAGCACATCGAGTGACCGTTCAAAGTTAACGACACTGGAAAAAAATGACTTCCGACAATTTTTCACACTTATGACCATTTTTCACAGACCATTGCAGCATCCCCCATGCGTCATGTCATTTACATTTGGATGCTTCACAACTGACTCCCATTTATAATGCTTGCAGTGTCATTGTGTGATTATCTCTTTTGGGACCTCCTGACAAAGTCAAGGGGAAATCCTATCCACTTAACAACAGTGTTACTAATTTTAAGAATTGAAGTGATTCCTTTAACAAATGTGACAAGAAAAGTCATAAAGTGGGGCTCACTTAAAAAAGCTCTCTTAATACATTTCTCACTTAGCAACATAAATTTGGGACTCAATTGTGGCCGTAAGTTGAGGACTATATTCCTTGGAGTACAAGTCCTATCATGCTTAACTGAAGATAATATGGTTTGTCAGGCTGTTGAAAAATGACAGGAGGCTTATTGCTCTGTTTGTGTATTATGTTTCTATGCCAATAATTAAAAATTAAAAAAAAAAGATTCTTCATCATCCAGGTCATGATTGTCCCAAAGGTGCTTTTTCAAGAGGCACCTGGACTTTCTTGCTTTTGTTTGAAGACTTTCAAAGAAATGTTGCAAATGCAAGGAGGAGTTAGAGATCAAGTTAGAGCCACAGTCACACCCATCTTCAAAAACGGAGACCCCAGCCTAGTTGAAAATTACAGACCAATCTCCTTATGTTGCGTCCCCTGTAAAGTCATGGAATCAATTATTAACCAATCCATTATCCTCCACTTAGAGACAAACAACCTACTCTCCAATAAACAATTTGGTTTGGGGGGGGGGGAACTATCCTGTAATCTGCAACTCTTACACTGCAAAAACATATGGACTACACAACTCGATCAGGGCAAAGCAATAGACGCAATCTACATAGACTTCTGTAAAGGTTTTGATTCAGTGGTACACGACAAACTACTCCTAAAACTAAAATCTTATGGTATCTCTGGACAACTGCATAACTGGATAGAAGCATTCCTGTCAAACAGACAACAAATGGTCAAAATTGGGACTGTCCTATCAAACTCTGTACCTGTCAATAGTGGTGTCCCCCAAGGCAGTGTTCTAGGACCAACTCTCTTCATACTCTACATAAATGATCTCTGTGATCATATTAAGAGCAACTGCCTTCTCTTCGCTGATGATGTAAAGCTATTCAACACCACAGACAATACTGATACCCTTCAAAAAGACCTTGACTATGTATCAGAATGGTCAAACAAATGGCAACTTCAAATCTCAACAAATAAATGCTCTTACAGATTGGCAAAAAAAATCAGAAAATAAAATACAAGCTGAACAGTCAAGATCTTATTGATGATCCAAGCTCTGTAAAGGACCTTGGAATACTCATATCTAATGATCTAAGTGCTAGAGCCCACTGTAACTACATAGCCAAAAAGGCATTAAGAGTTGTTAACCTAATTCTATGTAGCTTTTTCTCTGGTAATATCACACTACTAACTAGAGCATACAAAACATTTGCTAGACGAATACTCAGATACAGCTCATCAATCTGGAACCCACATTACGTATCTGATATTAGCACAGTTGAGAAAGTCCAGAAATATTTCACAAGAAGAGTTCTCCACTCCTCTACTCGTTGTAGAATACCTTATGCCACCAGACTTGAAATTCTAGACCTAGAAAACCTTGAATTATGCCGTCTTCAGTCTGATCTAAGTATGGTATATAAAATCATACATTGCAATGTCCTACCTGTCAATGAATACTTCAGCTTCAACCATAACAACACAAGAGCACACAATAGATACAAACTCAAGGTTAACCGCACCAAACTTGATTGCAGGAAATACGACTTCAGCACCAGAGTGGTCAATGTCTGGAATACTCTACCTGACTGTGGTTTCTTCCCCAAACCCCAAAAACTTTAACCTTATACTGTCTACTATTGACCTCACCCCTTTCCTAAGAGGTCTGTAAGGGGTGTGCATAAGCGCACCAATGTGCCTACTGTCCCTGTCCTATTGTTTCTTTTATTTTTCTTATATGTACCCATTTCATGTATTCATAACTATGTATATACTTATACCTATTATCTTGTAAGCAATTGACAAATCAAATCAAATAAATAAATAAATAAAAGTGTTCTGATGGAAAGGCTGTTCAAAGTTTTCCTCAGTCTGATATAGGCACATATGCAAAATTAGTCAGCATGACTTAAAAGATAAAAAAAGACTTCCTCTTTGAATATTATATAATAATGACTATTTGCAAAACCCTAATTAATGGTTTAAAAAGCTCAGTGCCTACGTTCCAAATCAAGCTGATTATGTTATATCTTATGTTGTGTAACCTACGGCAATGTACTAAATCCCAGTGAAATTCATTTTGGTGTTGCATACTTTGTAGGTGCGTGCCTTTAACTCAGTCTTGATGACTGCCTGGGCAAATCCCTGCAATTTTCATGGCAAGGTTTTAAAAAATGGTTTGCCGTTGCCTCTTTGCTAGGGTTGTAGGAGAGTGATTGGCCCAAAGTCTGCAAAGAGTGATAAGTGAAGAATCATGAGATGTCCCAACATCACAAAAAAACCTATGATTTAAATGTTTGCATTAGAGATCAGGAGGAAGTGCATAAGGGTGTGATTTGCACCATAGCACTAACTTGATGCCAGCTTGCACACACACACCCGCTGCCCCCTCCAATTTTACCTTCCTGGGCCCCAGGGAAGCTTCCTGGGAGCAAAAATGACCCCCCCCCCAAGGAGGAGAACACCTTGCCCTCGGAAGTTGTGGGAGCACCATCACTTGAGACTTTCAAGAAGAGATTGGACCGCCATTTGTCAGAAATGGTGTAGGGTCTCTCGCTTGGGTGAGGGGGTTGAACTAGATGACCTACAAGGTCCCTTCCAACGCTGATTATCTGTTATCTAGGCTTCCCTGAGGCCCAGATGGGTCAAAAAACGGAGGAGGGGGTGTTGCTTAAAAAAACCATGCCCACCCAGTCACATGGCCATGTTGACCTAGCCACGCCCACCTAGCCACGCCCACAGAACCGGTTGTTACAAAATTTGAATTCCCACCCCTGGTAACGTTTGACCTTGGGGGGGGGTGGCCACGGTGAGGATAGGCGTGGCAAGCTCGATGTCACTCGAGGCTCCATTTTCGGCTGCGACAGCCTTCTGCAGCCCTCTGCCAGTGAAAACAGAGCCCAGGGAAGCAGGCTGCAGTTTTATGATCTACCAAAGCAAAGGGTTTCAAGAAGGTTAAAAAAATTGTAAATCTATCAAAAAATACAAAGAAGTGCTGTGTGGTCTATTTCCCCCTAACCCTCTGTTGCTGGTGAGGTGGCTTTTTGCTGGTAGAGGCACCGTGGGCTGGTCCTTCGCTGTTTCCAGAGCAGCCCTGCAGCCTGAATCTAAGCACCCATAGGCCAGATCTGGCCCTCAGGCCTTGAGTTAGACACCCCTGAAATAGATAATCTCTGGGGTTCTTTCCAGACTTTTCATTCTTGTTGTCCATGCTGTAAAATCCCATTGCCTTATGCTACAGCCACATCGCAATGTTCTGACTACATGCCATGCTAATCGTTTGGATAGCCAGGATTTTTGCAATGTTGATCTGCCGCTCGCACTCCATTTTGGCTAATCCACATTAATCTCAGTTCATTTTATGAAGGCTGGACTTGGAATGTTGTTTTTCAACCTGCGGCTCTCTTAATATATTTTAATGTCCACCGATAGCAAAATAATTGGGAAGGTTAGCCACAAAGTACTGTATATAGTACTTCGTTTGTGAGAAGCAGAGCATGCTGGAAACATGCAGCAATAACGTGTATTTTTTTAAAAAAGAATTGTATTAAACAATTTTTCTTATATAAACATAATTTCCATTCATTACAATGCTTTTGTGACGATATACATACTTTTACATAAGTCTTAACTATCTATATGGTATACATACGTTTATATAAATCTTATCTATACACTTGTCTATGCTGCTTAATCTAACTTTGTCCACTATATCTTTTACCTTATTATTGTCTTCTTCTCTATTCAACTCTATATTATTTAATCAATCATACAGTACATTCCATGTCAAATAATAATCCGTTTTCTCTCTTTCCTTTATCTCCATGGTCAACTTATCCATCTCGGCACACTAATTTTTCATATATTTTCCTCTGGTGGCATACTATCATTTTTCCAATTCTGTGCATAAGTTATTCTTGCTGCCATTAATAAATGTCACATTAAATACTCTGTTTTCTTATCATATTTCCTGTTATTATACCTAATAGAAAAGTCTCCAGTCTTAATTCAATTTACTGTTTAATTATTTAATAATTAAACAGCAATAGCATGTATTTTTGTGCTTGGATTTCTAACTTGTTTCCAACTTGAAAAGTCTGGGCAAGCTTATGTCTATTTGCAGCAGGTATGATAACCTGGTGGTGACAGTGGACGATTACAGCTGTGAAATGTAGGAGGAATAGATGAATGATGAAGACCAATCAATGGATGAATAAGA